ACTGATAGAACCAATGAGTTGCTAGTCTACAATAGGAAGGGAAAGGGGCGTAATAGAGGATTACAAACTGGTGTGACAGAGCAGTACAAGACAGATGGCAATTGTAGAGAGAGAGAGTACGGCATTCTGTTATGAGGGAATGCTGAAGGAATTACAAAAAGGGAAGAATGTCAAGATACGGGGGATTATTGAGAAAAGAGAGGACAAAGGGAAAGGGGAGGAAGCCAGCCCTCGAAGCTCAGCGGTGTCTTAATTTTCTTTGACTCTTTATTTTTGTTTTAAGCATTGTACAAGTTAGCTAGGCAGTATTTTGCATTCCAAAAGTGTATTACTCTAAATTCTGATATCAATATACAGATTTTCCTTTGAATCTTGTTCTGATTTATTGTTTGGGTAAATTGATTGCTTGAGTGCGTTAGTACTGAGAAAGAGTTCAATCAAGTGGTATCAAAGTAGTCACTCACTGGGGTATGGTTAACACCAGAATGGAGAATAGAGTTAATAATGTTGAGAAAGAAGTCATGGGAATGCAGAGAGACCTTACCAAGCTGACAGAGACTATTGCATCCATGAGAGAGATAATAGTTGACACGTAGAACTAGATGCGACGGAAAGATGAAGACGAAGAAGCTCACCGGAGAATCGAAGAAGAAGCTTGTCGTAGAACAGAAGAAGAAGCTCACCAGAGAATCGTGGTACAAGAAGAAGGTAACCACTCTAGAACAAGAAACCAACGTGACGGGGAAACACGAAAGGAATACAAACCACCACCGCCGCCGCCGCCACCACCTCTTGACATTGGAGGTTACAACCACAGTGAAGGGGGAACTCAACAAGATTGGGGGTAAGAAAGTTGGAGCTCCCGATTTTTTCCAGTGATGACCCCTACGGCTGGATCTTTCAGGTTGAAAGGTACTGTGAATTATTGAATATTTTGTGTGTGTCGTATTATTACAATTGAGAGAATATTTATACAGCCTAGAAGGAAGAGAGAAATCTACTCCTATAAATATACAATCAGCTAATGCTAGAAAAAACAAAATTAGGATCGCCTATTTCTAGAAAGAATTAATATACATGATATTTGGTATTAATACCAAATTGATTCCCTATCTACAGCTGTGGTCAAATTCCTAATTCAGGAAATAAATCCACACTCCCCCTCAAGTTGGGTTGTGTATATCAAACATCCCAAGCTTGCACATTAATTCTTCAAAACTGGTTCTTGGGAGAGCTTTGGTGAGGATGTCAGCTGTTTGAAACCTTGATGGAGTATAAATGATTTGAACAATGGCATTCTCAATTTTCTCAGTGATGAAGTGTCTATCTATCTCAATATGCTTAGTCCTGTCGTGATGAACAGGATTTTTTGCAATACTAATGGCAGCCTGGTTGTCACAAAACATCTGTATAGACTCTTCCGTAAATACTCCAAGTTCACCAAGTAACTTTTTCAGCCAAATTCCTTCACAAATGCCAAGAGCCAGAGCTCTAAATTCTGCTTCAGCTGAACTTCTAGAAACAATTGATTGTTTCTTACTCCTCCATGTTACCAGATTACCCCAAACATAAGAACAATAACCTGAAGTACTCCTTCTATCTGTTACATCTCCTGCCCAGTCTGCATCTGTGTAGACTTTTATTTCTCTATTATCACTTTTCTTGAATAGAAGACCTTTTCCAGGAGTCATCTTGAGGTATCTAAGGATTCTAGTAACAGCTTCCATGTGTTCTTCAGTTGGATTATTCATGTATTGACTGACCACACTAACAGGAAAGCCAATATCAGGTCTAGTGTGAGATAGATAAATAAGGCGTCCAACTAGCCTTTGATATCTGCCCCTGTCCACAGGTGTCTTATCTATCCCTGAGCCAATTTTCTTGTTAGAGTCCATTGGAGTTGAGGCCGGTTTGCACCCAAGCATACCTGTTTCTTTGAGTAAGTCTAGAACATACTTACGTTGAGAAACAAATATGCCACGTCTTGATCGTGCAATTTCCATGCCAAGAAAATATCTGAGATACCCAAGGTCTTTAATCTCAAATTCCTTTGATAAGAAACTCTTCAATCTTGCCAGTTCCTCCTTGTAATCGCCTGTCAGTATTATATCATCAACATAAACGATTAGGATAGCTATCCTTTTATCTGATGAGAGTTTGACAAACAATGTGTGATCTGCCTGACACTGAGTATAGCCATTTTGAATGATTGATTTAGTGAATTTACCAAACCATGCCCGAGGAGATTGTTTAAGGCCATATAGAGATTTTTTGAGTCTGCATATTTTGTCCTGGTTGGATGAATTCTCGAAGCCTGGTGGAATATCCATATAGACTTCTTCTTCAAGATCACCATTTAGGAAAGCATTCTTAACATCTAGTTGGTGCAGTGGCCAGTCCCTATTTGCAGCAAGAGAGAATAGAACACGGATGGTGTTGAGTTTAGCAACTGGCGCAAAGGTCTCTTGATAATCTATCCCGTAAGACTGAGTGAAACCCTTAGCAACCAGACGAGCTTTAAACCTCTCAACGCTACCATCTGCTTTATGTTTAATGGTAAATACCCACTTGCATCCCACAGGTCTCTTCCCAATTGGTAATTTTGTAATTGTCCAAGTACCATTCTTTACCAAAGCGTTGATCTCATCTTGTACAGCCTTTTTCCAATTAGGATCAATTAGCGCCTCTTGGACTGTATGAGGAATCTGTATATTATCAATCACAGAAACAAATGCCTGATATGATGGAGATAAGATTTTATAGGACACAAAGTTGCCAATAGGATGTTTAGTACAAGCACGAACTCCCTTTCTCAAAGCAATAGGCAGATTTGAATCATCATTTATATGAGTAATATTATCATGACTAGGATTACTCAAACCTGAATGTATTTCTGGAGGATGTGGATCCAGTTCCGATTCATGGTGGTCCTCGAGATGTGTACTGTCCTTTATTTCTTTGTCAGAATTTTTCCTTCTTTGGTAGACATGAAGCTCTTTAGGTTCTTGTTGAGGATCATCAGTTATAGACGGCCCATAAGTTGTTTCAAATTGATTTTCTATGACTTGGGAAATAGATGGACTAGATGGACTTTGATTTTCTATGACTTGGGAGGTAGATGGACCGATCGGCTGTGGACTGGCAGTTTGAACAATAGGTGGAGGTGGAGTATGGGTACTCGGAATAATATCCCAAAGATGAGATTCACTCACATTCTCCCCCTGAATCTCAGGTTTGTAGTAAGCATGATTTTCAAAAAAGGTGACATCCATAGAGTTATAGGTTTTTCGAGTAGTAGGAGAATAGCACTTATAACCCTTTTGATGAGATGAATAACCAATAAAGATGCATTTGATAGATTTAGGGTCTAACTTACTACGATGTTGGGAATAGAGATGGACAAAAGCGGTGCAGCCAAAAACCTTAGGATCAATCAAACTAATGAACCTGGTATGAGGGAATAATTGCAAGAGAGTTTGACAAGGAGTTTGAAATTTGAGGACTTTAGATGGCATCCTATTGATTAGATAGGCAGCAGTAAGAAGAGCATCACCCCAGAAAAATTTGGGAACGTGAGTGGCAAACATGAGAGATCGAGCAACTTCAAGAAGATGTCGATTTTTGCGTTCAGCAACTCCATTTTGTTGAGGAGTGTCAACACAAGAACTTAAGTGAATGATGCCCTGTTGGATGAGATAGGGACTAAGAACAGAATTGAAAAAGTCTTTGGCATTATCAGTTTTGAGAATTTGAATCCGAGTTTGAAACTGAGTTTGAATCATAGAATGAAAATTCTGAAAAATCTCACTTACTTCAGATTTATTTTTCATAAGAAACACCCAAGTTAATCTAGTGTGATCATCAATAAACGATATAAACCATCTTTTTCCAGTTAAAGTGTTAACACTTGAGGGCCCCCATACATCACTATGAATCAATGAGAATGGTTTGGATGGTTTATATGTTAATCTAGAGTAACTATTGCGAGCGTGTTTTGCAAACTGACAGATTTCACAACAAAAAGAGTTTGGATTTTTATTAATAAATAAAGAAGGAAACATTTTTGACAAATACAAAAAATTCGGATGACCAAGACGATAGTGCCATAACATAATATCACTATTCTTATTAGAATGGGAAATGGACTGATTATTCAAAGAAAACAAACTGAACTTTTGAGCTGTGCTAGCGGATAGAGTTTCATCTTGTAGAATATAAAGACCAGAACACATCTCAGCACTGCCAATCCTCTTCCCCGAATCCAAGTCCTGAAATACACAAAGATTTGGGAAAAATTTAGTCACACAATGGAGGTCACGAGTAAATTTACTAATAGAAAGTAAATTACAGTCCAGCTTAGGCACATAGAGTACAGATGTGAGAGTTAGGTCCTTATTTATTGTGACTGAGCCCGAACCCTCCACCTTAGAAAGTGTTCCATCTGCAATTTTAACTGTATGATTCCCTGTATTCGTGTTATACTCAGAAAGAATAGATGCATCTCCGGTCATATGATCTGAAGCGCCAGAGTCAAGAATCCAATATTTAGTAGTTCTTTTATTGACAAACAAGGCTACTGATTTATTACCTCTCATGGCCAACATCCCAGTACCCTGAGTAGTTGGCTGAGTAGAGTTGGATGACTGACTTAGAAGTTTCTGAAGAGCCTCAAGCTGAGCTTTAGTGAAAGGAGCTGACTCAGATGTATCATTTTTTCCTTCAGCAGTAGGACTAGCAGTCGCAGCAACATTCCCATGACTCTCCCGATCACCCCATGACTTTGGTTTCCAATTTGGTGGCTTTCCATGGATTTTCCAGCATGTCTCTTTGTAGTGTCCAGGTTTTCGGCAATGGTCACACCAAGGGCGTCCCTTGTTCTGACGATTATCAGGATTGGCACCATGAGACTGTCCTCGGGCAGCAAGGGCAGATGATTCCTGATCTGATGATAGAGTTGGAGAGCCCATCATAACCTTTTTTCTGCTTTCTTTAAGACGAACTTCAGAGAATGCTTCTTTGACCTTAGGAAGGGGCTTGGTGCTCATGATTCGGCTCCGGACTGCATCGATTTTTGTTGAGGCCATGAAGAAATTTAAAGGTTCTCTTTTTCTCCACAATAGTACGGTATAGAGTAGTATCATCGGTGCACTTCCAAGCATATTCTTCGAACAGATCCAGCTGCTGCCAATAGCGTGTGAGAGTGTTGAAGTATTGAGTGACAGAGGTATCATCTTGGCGGAGATCATACAAGGCAGCTTCAATAGCAAACAGTTCTGAGGTATTTTCAGAACTTGAATAGGAGTCTTTGACAACATCCCAAAATTCCTTTGCAGTGGCATATAAAAGAAAATTTTCTCCTATATCATTATTCAAAGAACTTATCAGCCATGATTTAATCATATGATTATCGGCTTTCCAAGTTTTATACATAGGGTCATCTTGTTTTGGAGCAGAAATTTCACCAGTGAGATATTCCTCCTTGCCTTTTCCACCAATATACATCACCACAGATTGGGACCATTGGAGATAGTTGTGTCCATTGAATTTGTGGCTGGTAACCAGGGAGACAACTTCATTGCTGTGAGAGAGAGCTGGACCAGAAAGGGACTAATCTAATGAGGACGGCTTGGAGGTTACCTCTGAAATGAAGCAGTCTTTTTCGGCAGCCATGGCAGACAAGGATGGACACACGGAGAAGAAAAAATAAGGAAGAGCTAGGAGGAACCCTGCTCTGATACCATGTAAAAGTTTGAATATTTAGTGTATTCTTTATTATTACAATTGAGAGAATATTTATACAGCCTAGAAGGAAGAGAGAAATCTACTCCTATAAATATACAATCAGCTAATTCTAGAAAAAACAAAATTAGGATCTCCTATTTCTAGAAAGAATAAATATACATGATATTTGGTATTAATACCAAACTGATTCCCTATCTACAACTGTGGTCAAATTCCTAATTTAGGAATAAATCCACAAGAAATATAGGGTTATTTTGTTTTATTGTTTATTAAAGGTAGAATAGACTTTTTATTATTTCCCTGTCTTTTCAGTTTCCTTTGTTTAACCTATATATATAGTCTCTTTATATTTAGGTTAAATCATTCTTTTGTATTTGATTGCATTGTGCGGTATCAATGAAACCCTAGCCTCCCTTTTTTCTTATTTCTTTGGATTGTTTAACATGGTATCAGAGTCACATTTGTTTCTCTCTCCTCTTTGGTTGGGGCGATGATGAGTTTGAACCCTGACCTTGCACGTCGAGCGTGAGGGAGGGTGTTAGAAGTTGAATTTGTCACACATCGCGCTAATAGTGGACTGTTATGGTGTATATAAGTGATTTGACTCCCTTCTCTCTTGAGCTAGCTTTTGGGAGTGAGTTCTACCCAAGCTCACTTTATCATGGTATCAGAGCCAAGTTTCATGTGACAAGACATAATCTTAAATACAGCTTACGCGGATCCAACTCCGCGGTGAGTTGGTTGAGGGTATTCGTTAAGTTTCTGCAGTCTGGTATCTCGTTTTTCTTTCTTTTGTGTTCTGGTTTTCTTTGGATTTTATTATGGCTACTAAAAGAGACGATTCGCTTCAATCTATGAGTGTGAGGTTAGATGAAAAGAATTATTCGTATTCAGGGGCGGACCCAGGCCTCAACTTTAAAAAATAAATTGAAAAGTTTTATTAAAAGGTAAAAAAGAAAAGTTAAAAGTTAAAAAATTAAAAAGTTAGGTTTTGTCATATTCAAGTTTTTCTTCCCCAATTCCCAACTTCCCCTTTACATGCGGATCTGGATTTGGAGTGATTGTAATTCATCTTTTTATAAACCTTTGTGTATTTTATTTTTATTAGAGTTGTAGTTGAGTTCTAAATTTGTGTAGAATATTTTTGGTAGATTTGTGATTATTGTAAATGATAATCATATTTTTTCTTATGATTTTGCATTAAATTTCGATAGAATTTAGGATATTTCTTATACAATCTGGGCCATAATTGTTACCTAATTCTATTAATTTGTCTTTGCAGGCCTAAACGATGATTTTGAGCATAAATGATAGTTTTGAACATAAATTACGTAACTTGAGCTTGGAAACTCAGAATGACCTGATTTTAGAAGTTTTGGAAAGCTAAGAACCAGAGCTACAACTTTCATGTTTGGGTTTTTCCTAATTCTGACTGGACAAGGGTGAAAACTTGGCTTGAAATCGTGAACAGACGGTTGGAAACTGAAGAAAAACGTCTTTGGATGTGCTTCAGTATTTCTGTCATAACTTGAGCTTTAGACCTTGGATTGTGCTGATTCTTGAACGAGTAGAAATATAATTTAAAGGGCTACAATTCATATGTTTAACACTTTTCCAGATTCAGACTCTTTCATGCTCAAAATTGGCCCAAAAGATTCTCACCGAGGTAAGGAAAAAGCTTTGCCGCGGCGAAACTGCGTCAGATGTTAAAAATAAAACAACGTGTTTTGGCTTACTAGGGCTTGTCCTTAAGTAAAAGAGGTATAAATTAGCACGAAAATGAAAGAAAAAAGGTCTTGGTTCGTCATTTGGAAGGCAGCTCTTGGAAGGAGAAGATTATTGAAGATTTGGGCTTCAAATTAGAGAAGATTTCCCCATCTTTTGCTTGTTTTTCAATGATGAATCTTGATTCAGTTTGTTTTTTTTATTTTATTTTGTTTTTGAGTATGAATTGAGTTGTTTAGCTAGGGTTTGATGTAACCTTGATACAATGATTCAAATTTATATGAATTGATTTACTTTGAGTTTTAATTTTATGATTGAGTGTTTATCTCTTTGCTTAATGATTTTTGGATGCTTGATCACTATTCAAATGTGTGTTGTTCACAATGAGACTAAGAAGTGATGTGTGATTGTGCCTCTTGGGATAAATACCGTAGATTAAGCAAACACTATAGATAGGTTTACTGATTTATGAAATCTAGATAGAATTCCATAAAGCTTAAAAAACTTTGAACTATTAATCTTCATTTTGTTGGATGCGGAAGCTTAATAGGGATAAGTAGGAAAATATAGCCTGAGAAGGTATATTTTACAACTTAGGGAATTCGATTTTCAATAAAAGAATTAGAAGTTGGGTAATAGATTCTATGATTTGGGTTAGCGTATCTAGGTGAAATCAACACCCTAGCATTTTGTTTAATTAGTTAAGTTGTTAGGTTTTGCTTTAATTTCATTATAATTCGTTTATATTTTCTTAAATTGTATTTAGTTCATTAATTTTCCATCAATCCAATTTATTGTTGCTTCAATTAGGACTTAAACTAGAGAAATTGGTACTTAGTAATACTATTCTCGTGGGAACGATACTCTACTTCTCATTTTATTACTTTTTGCGACTAGTGCACTTGCTACATTTGCATGTTTGTCAAAAATACGCATTAGTAAACTCTTTTGATTATATTGGATTTAAGTGGATCGTCAGATTCCGTGGTGTTTTTATCTCTTCACATTGAAGAGGTTTTTCCACGTAACAATTTTCTTGTGTTTCCTTGTGAATTGGATGTTATTTTCTTATGTTTTCACTAGTTGATTGGCAAGCAGTGGCAGAGTGAGGGGGCCCCCCCCAAGGCAAAAATCTTGGGTCCGCCACTGTTCGTATTAGAGTTATGTAATGAGAAATTTTCTTAAAGGTAAAAAGATGTGGGGATATATTAGTGGAACTTCTGTGAAACCTAGGAATACTGATGACGGTTATGATGCTTTGATAGATGCCTGGGAAGCAAACAATGCAAAAATTATTACTTGGATTAACAATTCTGTTGAGTATTCCATAGGTACACAGTTAGCGAAGTATGAGACAGCAAAGGAGGTTAGGGATCATCTGCAATGGTTATTTACTCAATCAAATTTTGCAAAGCAGTATCAATTAGAGAATGACATGCAAGCTCTTTAGCAGAAGAATATGAGTATTCAGGAGTTTATTCTGCTATGACAGATCTTTGTGATCAGTTGGCTCTTATAGAATCTACATAATTAAAGGCATGTGGTGCCTATATTGCTCGTAGAGAGCAGCAATGGTTGGTATAGTTTTTAACGGCACTTACAGTGATTTTGAAGGACTTAGAGGTTCAATTTTGAATCGTTCTCCACTTCCTTCTGTTGACTCAATTGTCAGTGAGTTATTGGCTGAAGAAATACGTCTTAAGTCTTATTTTGAAAAGGGAATTTTTTCTACTTCTAATCCTTATGTGTTAGTAATACCTTCTAAGCCACTCTTTAATAATCAGAATAAGCCTTACACAAGGGTTGCCTTCGACAAGTGCAGTTTCTATAAGCAGAAAGGTCATTAGAAGGCTTAGTGTCCTAAGTTGAGACAGCAGAATCAATCGCAACAGCAATCTCAAGCTTGGAAGCCTGGCAACCAATCACAATCTAATGCTCATAGACCACCTCAAGGTTACAAACCACCACAGTCTAATACTGCAGCAGTAGTTTCATTAGGTTCTTTCACTGATCCTAGTACTCTGGTTGAGCAATTTCAGAAGTTTCTCTCCTTACAGCCACAAGTTATGTCTCCTTCTTCTTCCGTAGGTCAGTTCCCTTATAGTTCTTCACGTATGTCACATTCTGTATGGGTCTTGGATTCTGGTGCTTCACATCATATGTCTCCAGATTCTTCATCGTTTGCTTCTGTGTCTCCTTCGTCTTCTATTCCTATTATGACTGCTGATGGCACTCCTATGCCTTTAGCAGGTGTTGGTTCTGTTGCCACACCTCACTTGTCTCTCCCTAATGTTTATCATATTCTGAAACTCACATTAAATCTTGCTTATGTTGGTCAGTTATGTGATTCTGGTAATTTAGTCACCTTTTCCTCTTCTTCTTGTTATGTGCAGGATCTGTAGTCTCGGAAGCTGATTGGGAAAGGCTATAGGAAGGGGGACTATAAATTTTGGATGAGTTAAAAGTGCCAGTTGTTGCTGCTGCTACTAGTGCTGATGCTGATGCTGCCGCTACTAGTGTTGATTTGTCTTCTTTTCGTTTGAGTCCTTCTTCTTCTAGTTTTTATTTATGGCATTCTCGTTTAGGTCATGTTTCGTCTTCTCGTTTGAGATTTTTGGCATCCACAGGGGCTTTAGGAAATTTGCAAACTTGTGATATTTCTGATTATAGTAGATGTAAACTGGCAAAATTTTCAGCTTTACCTTTTAATCGAAGTATTTATGTTTCTTCTTCTCCATTTGATTTGATTCGATTCATTCTAATGTATGGGGACTTTATCCTATTGCCACAAAAGAAGGGTCTCGATATTATGTTTCTTTTATTGATGATCATACTCGTTATTATTGGGTTTATTTAATGAAACATCGTTCTGAATTCTTTGAGATATATACAGCCTTTCGAGCTCTTGTCAAAACTCAACATTCTGCTGTTATCAAATGTTTTAGGTGTGATTTAGGTGGGGAATACACTTCTAATAAATTTTGTGAGTTGCTTGCCTTAGATGGAACTGTTCATCAAACCTCTTGTACAGATACTCTTGAGCAAAATGGTGTTGTTGAAAGAAAACATAGGCACATTGTTGAAACCTCTCGTTCTCTCTTGTTGTCTGCTTCTGTTCCTAGTGTGTTTTGGGGTGAAGCTGTTCTTACTGCTGTAGGTTTGATTAATACAATTCCATCTTCTCATATTTCAGGTTTTTCTCTTTTCGAAAAGTTGTATATATGGGTATGCCCCTGATTATTCTTTCTTTAGAGTTTTTGGTTGTACTTGTTTCGTTCTTCGTCCTCATGTAGAACGCAGCAAGTTGTCCTCTCGATCTGTTATTTGTGTCTTTCTTGGTTATGGTGAAGATAAAAAGGGGTATCGTTGTTTTGATCCAATAACTCAGAAACTTTATGTGTCTCGTCATATTGTTTTTCTTAAGCATATACCTTTCTTTTCTATTCCATCCACTACTCATAACTTGACTAGATCTAATCGTATTCGTATAGATCCTTTTTCTGAGGATTCTGATAGTTTGTCATCTTAGGTTCCTAGTATTTCAAATACCCCTTCGCATGTTCTTACCTTGTTACCTTTACATTATACATGACCAATTCGTACTGATCATTCTGCAGGTACTGACACTTTACTCTCTGGCACACCTGAAGCTCCCTCTTCTTCTATGGTCCCTCAAGCTCCATCTGAGATTGTGGATCCACCACTATGTCAATCCATACGCATTCGTAAGTTCACAAAGTTACCAGATTTTGCTTATTCTTGTTATTCTTCATCTTTTGCTTCGTTTTTAGCTTCTATTCATTGTCTCTCTGAGCCCTCTTCCTATAAAGAGGTAATTATTGATCCTCTTTGGCAGCAAGCTATGGATGAAGAACTTTCTGCTTTGCATAAAACAGGTACATGGGATTTGGTTCCTCTACCTCCTAGTAAGAGTGTTGTTGGGTGTCGTTGGGTTTATAAGATCAAGACTAATTCTGATGGATCTATTGAGTGATACAAAGCTAGGTTGGTTGCAAAAGGGTACTCTCAACAGTATGGTATGGATTATGAGGAGACATTTGCTCCTGTTGCAAAAATGACTACTATTCGTACTCTTATTGCAGTAGCTTTGGTTCGTCAGTGGCATATCTCTCAACTTGATGTTAAAAATGTCTTCTTGAATGGAGATCTTCAAGAAGAAGTTTATATGGCGCCCCCTACTGGTGTTTCACATGATTCTAGGTATGTTTGCAAGCTCAAGAAAGCGTTATATGGTCCTAAACAAGCACCTTGTGCTTGATTTGAGAAATTTTCTATTGTGATCTTTTCCCTTGGATTTGCTTCTAGTAGTCATAATTCTGCTCTTTTTGTTAAGTGCACTGATGCAGGTCGTATGATTCTGTCTTTCTATGTTGATGACATGATTATTATTGGTGATGATATTGATGCTATTTCAGTTTTGAAGACAAAGTTAGCTAGACAGTTTGAAATGAAGGATTTGGGTTCTCTACGATATTTCTTGGGTATTGAGATAGCCTACTCACCTAGAGGTTATCTTCTTTCTCAGTCGAAATATGTTGCAGATATTCATGAGTGGGCTAGACTTACTGATAATAAGACTATAGATACTCCGATTGAGGTTAACGTGAAGTATTCTTCTTCTGATGGTTTACCTTTGTCAGATCTCACTTTATACCGTACTATTGTGGGGAGCTTGGTGTATCTCACTATTACTCGTCCAGATATTGCATATGATGTTCATGTTGTTAGTCAGTTTGTTGCTTCTCCTATTACGGTTCATTGGGCAGTTGTTCTTCATATTTTGCGGTATCTTCGGGGTACAGTCTTTCAGAGTCTTTTACTTCCATCCACCTCTTCCTTGGAGCTGCGTGCATACTCTGATGCTGATCATGGCAGTGATCCCACAGATCACAAGTCTGTTACTGGTTTCTATATCTTTTTGGGTGATTCTCTTATTTCTTAGAAGAGCAAGAAACAATTTATTGTTTCTCAATCTTCAACCGAAGCAGAATATCGTGCTATGGCATCTACTACCAAAGAGATTGTTTAGTTACGTTGGTTACTTGCAGATATGGGAGTTTCTCTTTCTCATCCCACTCCTATGTATTGTGACAACCAGAGTTCTATTTAGATTGCTCACAACTCAGTTTTTCATGAACGAACTAAGCACATTGAGATCGATTGTCACCTTACTCGCCATCATCTCAAGCATGGCACCATTACCTTGCCCTTTGTTTCTTCTTCTTTGCAGATTGCAGATTTCTTTACCAAGCCGCATTCTATTTCCCGTTTTTGTTTTCTAGTTGGCAAACTCTCAATGCTTATAGCCACCGCATCATGAGTTTGAGGGGAGATATTAAGAAATATAGGGTTATTTTGTTTTATTATTTATTAAGAGTAGAATAGTCTTTTCAGTATTTTCATGTCTTTTCAGTTTCCTTTGTTTAGCCTATATATAGTCTCTTTGTATTTAGGTTAAATTATTCTTTTGTATTCGATTGTATTGTGCAGTATTAATGAAACCCTAACATCCTATTTTTTTTGTTTTTTTTTTTTTTTCTTGTTTCTTTCGATTGTTTAACCGTGCCTATATTTGTCGCCATGTAAAATATTTCCTGGTCGCGTCACGATCTCGAGTTCTTTCCACCTCACGTTTGCCTTCATTTCATGAGTCTCATTGAAGCAGGTTTAGGGTCAACGTTCAATTTTTTATAATTCTTTACCAGTACTTCACTTTTTCTCAATTCAGCTGTTGCTTAACTTGATTTTAAGAAATAGTACAGAAAATGTGATCTCAAATGAGGAAATTTTCAGCAGAAATCTAAACACTATGGTTTCTTTTCTGAAATAAAATGATTTAGGATCCCCATATTATTATTCCCCCTGATGTATTATTTTTTAACAAAAAGAGAGAGTTGGCCTGCGTAATTTTGCTAATGCACGGAAGATGTTTGAGAAAAAGAGCAAAAACAATGCTGGGGTCATCTGATATCATTTTATTATTAAGGATTTCCATTTGGTGCACCGATACTGAGAAGGCGGTACTGGATTGAATTTTCAAGTAATATTCTCCTAACCTTTTGAGTCAAAAAGATTCCTGTTGGTGATGCCATTTTTAAGAATATAATTAAGACTACCATTATTTTATAAAAAAAACATTAGCCATGGTACTTATTGATACAGGGCTCTGCAACCATTTTCTAGCATGAAATTGTTTAGACTCGTACACGTGCTACATCTGCAAACGTCATACGGGAGAAAAAAAATGAAGCGGGAACTTGACTTTTGAACTTGTTCTAAACAGAAGATCGTCAGTCTTACTGTTTGTTCTCGTCCTTCTCTTTGCGTCACCAATCCGGTCATGGCTGTGGGAGAGGTCTTTCTCTCTGCATTCCTTTAGGTCTTATTTGACAGAATGACATCTCCGGAGTTGCTCAACTTTGTAAGTCAAGAGGGAGTATCTTCCAAGCTGAAAAAAAAGGGGAAGAGAAGTTGAAGATGATGCAGGCAGTTATCAGCGACGCAGAGGAGAAGCAACTGAATGACAAGGCTTTGAAATTGTGGCTGGCTGATCTTCAGGACTTGGCCTATGATGTGGAGGACATATTAGATGAGTTTGCCACTGAAGCTTTGGCNATTCTTTACCAGTACTTCACTTTTTCTCAATTCAGCTGTTGCTTAACTTGATTTTAAGAAATAGTACAGAAAATGTGATCTCAAATAAGAAAATTTTCAGCAGAAATCTAAACACTATGGTTTCTTTTCTGAAATAAAATGATTTAGGATCCCCATATTATTATTTCCCCTGATGTATTATTTTTTAACAAAAAGGGAGGGTTGGCCTGCGTAATTTTGCTAATGCACGGAAGATGTTTGAGAAAAAGAGCAAGAGCAATGCTGGGGTCATCTGATATCATTTTATTATTAAGGATTTCCATTGGTGCACCGATACTGAGAAGGCGGCACTGGATTGAATTTTCAAGTAATATTCTCCTAACCTTTGAGTCAAAAAGATTCCTGTTGGTGATGCCATTTTTAAGAATATAATTAAGACTACCATTATTTTATAAAAAAAAAACATTAGCCATGGTACTTATTGATACACCGCTCTGCAACCATTTTCTAGCATGAGATTGTTTAGACTCATACACGTGCTACATCTGCAAACGTCATACGGGAGAAAAACAATGAAGCGGGACCTTGACTTTTGAACTTGTTCTAAACAGAAGATCGTCAGTCTTACTGTTTGTTCTCGTCCTTCTCTTTGCGTCACCAATCCGGTCATGGCTGTGGGAGAGGTCTTTCTCTCTGCATTCCTTAAGGTCTTATTTGACAGAATGACATCTCCGGAGTTGCTCAACTTTGTAAGTCAAGAGGGAGTATCTTCCAAGCTGAAAAAAAATGGGAAGAGAAGTTGAAGATGATGCAGGCAGTTATCAGCGACGCAGAGGAGAAGTAACTGAATGACAAGGCTTTGAAATTGTGGCTGGCTGATCTTCAGGACTTGGCCTATGATGTGGAGGACATATTAGATGAGTTTGCCACTGAAGCTTTGGCTCGCAAGTTGATCACAGAAGATCAGACTAGCAGTACTAGCAAGGTTCATAGCCTAATCCCTGCTTATTTCACTGAGTTGACTCCAGGTGCAGTTAAGTTTGATTTTAGTATGGAATCCAAGATAAAAGATATCCAAGCAGGTTGGAAGAAATCTGAGAAAACTGCAGTAAACTTGGATTGGAAAAGATTGCTGGAGGGTCATCAAATCCTGCTTTGTGGCAAAGACCACCCAGTATATGTTTGCGAAATGAACCTTCTGTTTATGGGAGAGATGAAGATAAAGAAAAAATTCTTAAAATGGTGTTTAGGGAAAACCCAAGTAATGCAAACTTTTGTGTGATAGCCATTGTTGGTATCGGAGGATTTGGAAAAACAACAATTGCTCGACTTGTGTATAATGACAAGACAGTGGAAGATGATTTCGACTTAAAAGCATGGGTTTGTGTTTCTAATGACTTTGATGTCATGAAAATCACACAAACAATTATCAAGTCATTCACTTTCCTGCCTTGCAACTTGAGAGATTTAAACCAGGTACTGCTTTCCCTGAGAAAGGAAGTGTCTGGAAGAAAATTCTTGATCATCTTAGATGATATCTGGAGCAAAAACTATGGCCTATGGCAGATCCTGAAGTCTCTCTTTGCTGGAGCACCGGTAAGTAAGGTGATTGTAACAACACATGGCTTAGATGTTGCATTAACAATAGGAAACATTAAATACTGTCATGATTTAGAGCTTCTATCCGTTGATGATTGTTGGTCCGTATTTATAAAGCATGCATTTGAGAGTGAAGATGATAGTGCACATCGAAAATTGGAATTAGTTCGTCAAAAAGTTGTTGAAAAGTGCCGAGGATTGCCTTTTGCAGCAGCAACTCTGGGTGGTCTTCTACGATGTAAGGGAAACAATTATGACTGGGAAGATGTATTAAACAGTGAAATATGGCATTTATCAGAAGAAAGTGACATGCTCCCGGTGTTAACATTAAGTTACCATTGACTTCCTTCACGTCTAAAGATAAGTTTGCCTATTGTGCAATTTTTTCCAAAGAATTATGAATTTGAAGAGAAAATCTTCTATGGATGGCAGAAGGTCCTATTAAACAATCAAAACATGATGAACAAATGAAAGATTTAAGCCTGGAGTATTTTCATGATCTCTTATCAAGGTCAATTTTTCAACCATCAAGTGTTCGAACAAATTGCAAACGGTCCTCTAAATTTGCAATGCATGATCTTGTGCATGATATAGCTCAAAGGATTTGCGGAGAAACAAGCTTTCAATTAGAGGATGAATTGAGAGCAAATAAGCAAAAGAAAACAGATAATTTAAAGGACAGTTAAAAGGGCTCATCATATTTCCTTCTATATCATCAAGCAGTCACTTACCTGTAACAATCAAATGCCTAGAGATTTGGAATTGCTTGAACCTCACGAGCATATCACCATGTGGCCAGTTGCCCAAGGCGCTTCAGTACCTCCGTATTGATAGTTTGTCCAAAGCTGGAGTTGATAGCAGAGAGGTTTGAAAGTAACAGTTCTCTTCAATCCATTGACGTCTTGAATTGTGACAATCTTCTATCCATAGCTGAGGGTCTGCACCAATCTGAGTCATCTTAATCTGATCCGTATCTGGGGTTGTCCTAATCTTGTGTACTTCCCAAAAGAGGGGCTTCCCAACACCTATTTATCAGTTTTAATCGGCAGGTGTGAGAAACTTAAAGCATTACCCGGCTGCATGCACAGCCTCAACTCTTTTCAGGAATTGGAAATAAGGCAATGTCCAGGCATCATATTCTCTCCACAACAAGCCTTTCCCACCAATCTAACATGTCTTTCAATTGGAGATCTCAATGTCTATAGACCACCGGTTGAATGGGGGTTGCACAAGCTCACCTCTCTTCGAGACCTGTCCATTACTAGATGTCCAGAGACACTGACTTGCCCAGAGATGGGAATGACACTGCCAGCCTCTCTTACTCGACTGACCATTGAAAGTTTCTCAAAACTGAAGTACTTATCTTCTAATGGCTTCCAAAACCTCTCTCTCAGGAATTCCTATGGCTCAAAAGTTGTCCAAGTCTCACACCCTTCCTAGATGTTGGCCTGCCATCTTCACTTTTGCAACTAAATGTCGATGAATGTCCACTGCTGAAAAGCAAGTGCAAAAGATAAAAAGTACAAGAGTGGCCCAAGATAGCCGATATCCCTTGTGTCAAGATAGATGGAGTATTCATCTATGAGTAAGTGTATTTTATTTTATCCCATAGAGTTTTTCAATCCCTTGTTCCCCTACAAATTACCCTCAACTTTTTTTCTAGCAGTTCACTGTCTTAATCACCTTTAATATGTTTCAGCTCAATAAAAATACAGATTTAGGCTCTGATTGTATTCATGATATTTCGAAAAGAGTTACTTTTTTTTTCTTTTTATCTTCACTTATGTTTCTCTGATTTTCTTTTTCATTTTTTTTTATGACTTCCAATTAAATCAGGTCAACTGTTTGAACCCATATAACAGTGTGCAGTATCAAATAGATCAACTTTGGAGAGTTATGTCTTCTAGCATTTTGGTGTAACCATACTTGATAATGAAAGTGTTTTTGTTGTTGAAGTTAACTGCTTCCATTGGTTGATTTGTGTAAAGTTGTGGGAAGAAGGTAAACAGAGATAAGAAATTTGTGAACTTAGTCAGATTCTAGTATTTTGCATACACACACTAGACTTACTAAAGTTTCTTATTAGATTTGTTCTGAAGTTCATAATTGTTTCATTTTATTGATGAGAGGAGTAAAAGAGACTGGATTGCTGAGGCACGAAATGTATCCTTCAGATACTAGTTTCTTCGGTGCCCTCTTTCCCAAGTTTCAAGCCTAGTTGGGAACGAAGAGAAATAGTTTGTTCTATTAGGCCAACGCTTTACAAGAATCAGGTTGAAAACAACAGTATGTATACTGATTTCTTTATCATTCTTCACTAATTCTGAAAACTCAGTTTGTTATTTCACATGCTTGATGATCATTAAATTTGTGCAGCATATAACTTTGAGTCCAAAGATTCAAAGGTGTCCATCTGTTGAGAGGCAGACTTCAGGAGTAAAAATAAACAATAAAAGATCAGATCATGTTGTCAACCAGATGGTATGACCTCAAAATCCTCAGTGGGTAATATCATATTAGGCCTCTGGCTCAAAGTTCTGACAAATGGTTGTCCCCGTCGATTGCTTTATTTCTCCTGGCACAAAATGCTGATTAGTCTAATGAACCCCACAATCCATTTCAGGGTATCACAGACAGGGCTTGTGTCCGACACAGGCTAATGCTGCCCCAAACTGCAACCTAAAGGAGGATTTGATAGTCTGATTATTGTATTCTACAAGTTTTTTTTCTTGTACATAAGAAATGTGGATCCTATTTTGAAGCTTCTTTTTTTCTGTACAAAGCACTATTCAATGTCATTGTTGTGGTTTGTTCTTTGATTTTTTGTTGTCATTAGATTTAATTAAGACATGAAACGCCGATTTAGAGTTTTGAAAATACTATAGATTTGGTTACAGTATCTTCAATTATGTTCTTTATTTTAAAGCGCATCTTCTATATAAATAAAGAGCATTTTCATTAATTTCTAAATATAAAAAACAAAATTTTTATTCAAATCTAATAGACTTTTTAAATTTAAAAAAAAAACTTAATAAGAGAAATAATTCATAAATAAAAATAAAATATATAGAAGTTTGTAATTTATTAAATGAAATTATGATAAAGATTGAAATTTAATTATCTAGATGTGGAAAGTCAAACTTACTCTTTAATTTACATTTTAAGAATAAAGAGCCTATTGGATTTTTATTTTTATGGATAAACTCTTTATAATAAAGAGTTTTAGTCATATAAAGAGTTATTTAAAGATGCTCTTAGAATACAATGTTGGTAACATCATATCAACGTAAATTTTATAAACTCATAACGTAAAATTTGTCAATTACATTTTTGACCTTTTAATAAATTAAAGATGGGGATAATAATAATACGTGGGGGCTAAAGATCAATTCCCTTTCTGTCCTATCCAATTGGATCCATATGGCCATACCCTAAAGTTGGTACTCAAAATTGGAGAATTAAATGTCACCTCCTAGTAATACTACTGGGACAATGGGAGCCATCAGATTACAGTTGTTTAGACTATAGTCCAAGATCCAAGGGCTACCAGCTACCAGTATCATTACTGAAATGTGGTAGCTGGACCTAATAACTTTCCCCCCCAAAACACTTCAAATTCGCATCTTTCTTTAGATAAAAGATTAATCTCTCTTTTACTTTATACAATGAAGCCAATTAGTGTGGAATTTTAATAAAGATAAAGACGCTAAAGCACCAAAGGCTCAAAGCAACTTGTAACAAAGTGACAACCCATTTACTTTTGACGTTAGAAATTTTTCAAGATTTCATTGAAGAAAAAAAAAAAAAAAAAAAAAAAACTGTAGATTCCTTGTTTCATACGATTGTTTGTGCTTGATCTCGCTCTTCACATTGTGTGATCATAATCCTCATTCTTTCTTNATGAAGCCAATTAGTGTGGAATTTTAATAAAGATAAAGACGCTAAAGCACCAAAGGCTCAAAGCAACTTGTAACAAAGTGACAACCCATTTACTTTTGACGTTAGAAATTTTTCAAGATTTCATTGAAGAAAAAAAAAAAAAAAAAAAAAAAACTGTAGATTCCTTGTTTCATACGATTGTTTGTGCTTGATCTCGCTCTTCACATTGTGTGATCATAATCCTCATTCTTTTTTTGGACACCAGCAAAACCATGGCGGTAGGGGAGCTCTTTCTTTCTGCTTTCCTTCAGGTTCTGTTTGACAGATTAGCCTCTCCTGACGTGCTGCGTTTTGCGAGTCAAGAGGGTGTGCGATCAAAGCTGCAAAAATGGGAAGAAAAACTGAAGATGATTCAGGCAGTTCTTAATGACGCAGAGGAGAAGCAACTGACTGACCGGGCAGTGAAAATTTGGCTGGACGATCTTCGAGACTTGGCATATGATGTAGAGGACATGCTCGATGAGTTTGCCACTGAAGCTTTGGGGCGTAAATTGAAGGCAGAACATCATGAATCTAGTAGTAGCAGCAAGGTACGGAACCTCATAATCCCTGCTTACGTTAAAATTATCCAGAGTCCAAGTGCTGTTAAGTTCGATTTTACTATGAGGTCAAAGATAAAAGGTATAACTAGCCGGTTGGAAGTAATATGTAAGCAAAGAGTTGAGCTTGGGTTGCAAGTAGTGTGTGGAGGGACATCAAGTTTAGGATGGCAAAGACCACCAAGTACATGTTTGCCTCCTGAGCCTGTTGTTTATGGGAGAGAAGAAGATAAAAGGAAGATACTTGAAATGGTGTTAAGAGATGAGCCACGTGATGTCAACTATTCTGTAATACCCATTGTTGGAATGGGAGGAATTGGTAAAACCACGCTTGCTCAACTCGTGTACAACGATAGGGAGGTCGAACAATTCAAGCCAAGAGCTTGGGTTTGTGTCTCTGATGACTTCGATGTTTTGAGAATTACGAAGGCAATTTTAGAATCAACCACTTTATCATCATGTGATTTGAAGGATTTAAATCAAGTGCAGGTTCAATTGAACGAGGAATTAGTTGGAAAAAAATTCTTGATTGTGTTAGATGATGTTTGGAGTAAGAATTATAGCTTGTGGGACATCTTAAAACGGCCCTTTTTGGCTGGAGCACCTGGAAGTAAGATAATTGTGACAACTCGCAGTGTAGATGTTGCATTAACAATAGGGCCAGTTAAATATTATCCCTTAGAGCTTCTATCAAACGATGATTGTTGGTCTGTGTTCATGAAACATGCATTCGAGGGTAGAAATATTGAAGCATGTCAAATTTCAGAATTGATTCGCGAGAAAGTTGTTGAAAAGTGTAAAGGTTTGCCCTTGGCAGCAAGAACTCTCGGTGGTCTTCTACGTTGTAAGCATAGAGATGAAGAGTGGGAAGACGTGTTAAACAGTAAAATATGGGACTTGTCAGAAGATAGTGACATTCTCCCTGTACTCAGATTAAGTTACCATCACCTCCCATCACATTTGAAAAGATGTTTTGCGTATTGTTCAATCTTTCCTAAGGATTATCAGCTCGAGGAGAAAGAGGTTGTGCTCTTGTGGATGGCAGAAGGTCTTGTTGAACAATCAATAGACAATAAACAAATGGAAGATTTAGGTTGTGATTATTTCCGTGATTTATTGTCAAGGTCCTTTTTTCAATCATCAAGTGCTAAACGTTCTAAATTTGTGATGCACGATCTTGTCAATGATTTGGCATTGTGGGTTTCAGGAGAGACAAGCTTTAGATTAGAGGATGAATCAAGAACAAGTCATTCATCAAAAAGAACCAAAAAGGTTCGTCATTCCTCTTATGTTTGCAGTGATTATGGTGGAAAAAATAAATTTGACATCTTCAACGATGTTGGACACTTAAGGACATTCTTGCCATTGTCTTTGCATATATACACTCGTTACATAAGTTTTTCGGTTCTTTTTGATTTGTTGCCGAAGTTCAAGAGGTTGAGAGTACTATCACTAAAAAAATATTATATCACTGAACTACCAAATTCAATCGGAGATTTGCAGCATCTTAGGTATCTTAATCTTTTTGGTACTATGATTAGAAGGCTACCAGAATCGATATGCTCATTATATAACCTGCAAACTTTGATACTGACGGATTGTCGTCACCTCATGAAACTGCCTTCTAACATCGGAGATTTGGTCAATCTACGCCATCTTGACATATATAAAGTGAATTTAAAAGCAATGCCATTGAGAATGGGAGAATTGAAATGTCTCCGAACGTTGTCTGATTTTGTTGTAGGCAAAGAAACAGGATCAAGTGTAAAAGATTTGAAGAACTTAAAATTTCTGCGTGGAGAACTTTATATTTCAGGGTTAGAGAATGAGACCAGCTCACATGATGCAGGAGGGGCCATATTAAGTAATAAAAAAGACATTGACGGATTGTTCTTACAATGGGGATATTCTTTTCCTGAGTCAAGAAATGAAGTGGAAGAAAAAAATGTGCTTAAAATGCTACAACCTCATAGAAATTTGAAAAAGCTTGAAATCTCATGCTATGGTGGCACAGGATTTCCATCTTGGTTAGGAGATCCATCATTTTCTAATATGGCGCTCCTGAGATTAGACGGATGCACAAGATGTTTATCATTACCGTCACTTGGGCTTCTGAGCTCCCTGAAAGCCCTTATCATTAGAGGGATGACAAGCTTGAAAAGTATAGGTTCCGAATTTTACGGGAAATGTTGCTCAAAACCATTTCAATCACTAGAGACTCTGGTGTTTGAGGGATTGCAAGAATGCGAGTATTGGGAAACTAGCGAAGGAAATGAGAATGTGAAAAGATTCCCTTGCCTCCGTGAACTTACACTTCGAAGGTGTCCCAAACTATCCGGAGCATTGCCTAATCATCTGCCTTTGTTGGAGAAACTTGTGATCAATAACTGTGAGCAGTTGGTGGTTTCATGCTCTGGCTTTCCACTGCTTTCTAAATTAGAGATAGATGTATGCAAAGGTATGGTCTGCAATAGCCCAACTGACTCTAACTCGCTGAAATCCATGACTCTTAGAAATGTTTCTGAGTTTGGAAATTGGTTGAGGAAAGGGTTTTGGTTAAGGCAAGGGTTTCAGAATGTAGAGCATCTAAAGATAGTCAACTGTGACGAGCTCATGCACTTCTGGCAAAATGAGATTTGTCTTCAGAAGCCAATACAAGGGTTTCACAGCCTCACCTCTCTGAGACATCTATGCATTGAAAACTGCAGATCCTTAGTTTTGTTTCCAGAGATCAGGTTTCTTTCTGTCCTAAGAAAACTTGAGATTGAAAATTGTCATGCTTTGGCATCCTTACCTCCGGAAATGAATCATAATAATCCATGTCTTGAGACATTAACAGTTAAAAGTTGCCATTCTCTAAAATTCATAGTAACAGGCTATCTACCTTCATCTCTATGTAGCATTTCGGCAAGAGATTGTCAGAATCTGCGGTGCTTGTTTGATGACAGAGATCAAGATACTTCTTCTTCTTCTTCTTCTTCGGCAGCTTCTTCTTCAGGAATGAATACCGGTTCATCTCTTAAGTTCATGTATATTTGTAGCTGTCCATCTCTTACAAGCATATCATCAACAGGCCAGTTACCTACTACACTCGAGTACCTTGAACTTTGGGGTTGCTCAAAGCTCACAACCTTATCATCAAGAGGTCAATTACCTGCTGCATTTGAATGCATTGAAATTTTTCATTGTTTGGAATTGAAGACCTTGTCATCGTCAGGCCAGTTGCCTAAGGCACTTCTTGAACTAAAAATTCATGATTGTCCAAAACTAGAGTCAGTAGCAGAGATGTTTTATAATAACATGTCTCTTGAAAGATTTGAGATCCAAAAATGTGAAAATCTTAAATCCTTTCCTGAGGGCCTACACAATCTTATTCGTCTTCATAGACTTTTAATTACTGATTGTCCAGGTCTTGTTTCCTTTCCAGAAGGAGGGTTTCCTAATAGTAATTTAACAGTTTCAATCTTCAACTGTGAGAATCTCAAAGCCCTGCCTGGCAGCTTGGAAATGCTCAACTCTCTTCAAGAATTACAGATAAGTAAATGCCCAAGTATTATGGCCTTTCCATCAGATGGTTTTCCTACAAATATTGAAAACCTTGCAGTAGATAATCTCAATATTTACCAGCCTTTGGTTGAGTGGGGGTTGCATAAGCTTACATCTCTTGGAGGGCTTCATATTACCGGATGTCCAAATGCTGTGTCTTTCCCACAGGAGGAGATGGGAACAATATTGCCTTCCTCTCTAGTTGTACTCACCATTGAAGAATTCCCAAAACTGAAATACCTTTCCTCAAATGGTTTTCAAAATCTCACCTCTCTTCAAGAGTTGTCAATCAGTCAATGTCCAAATCTTAAATCCTTTCCCAAGGCAGGCTTGCCATCCTCACTTTTGAAGTTGTACATTTTGGATTGTCCTTTGTTGAAGAAACATTTCGGAAGAAATAAAGGAAAAGAATGGTCCAAGGTAGCACACATCCCAGATGTTAAGATAGATGGAAAATTTATCTATGATCCACAGGAGAGAGAATGAGCTCTCTTTTGGTTCAGAAATGTAGATGGATTCACAGAATACCTCAGTCCATCCTTATATCTCAGGTTTGTCAACTTGTAGCCCCTGCATATTTGTACATTTTATCATACATTTTAAATTCTTCAATTTTTAATCCTTGTTTAATCTTTGGTAATATATACGTCTTCACTTGAGTTGAAAGTGTATCAACTTCTGACTGTAATGTTTTTCATTTAATTATTTAGATCGTTGCTGGCGGTCCTAAAAATTGAACTAATTGAATAATTACAAGAAGATAAGCAAGGCAGCATACAGACTCTATTTGGAGGTCAGGCAATCAGAAATTGATTCTCCATTTCAAGAAATCTTTCTTTCTACCAGAACTTATAAGCAATTGTTCTTTCATGATAGATGTTGAAAATTCTTCAGGTTTGCATTTTGTAGACTTCAAATTGTACAGGTTCATGTTTAAATACTTCATACTAATTCTCAGCTCAATAAAAACTCATAATAACAGATATGAACATCTTTTGCAGATAAAATATTATGGAAGAAGAAGTGATTGCAGAGAAACCATATTGAAATGTGACAGATGAAGCTCTAGTTTGCTTTTGACATAAAGTAAGTCCATTATTGTAGATACAATTCTTTATCCTCCCTGCTAGTGTGATAAAGAAAAATTAACCTTGTTGTAGTTGTACTTTGTTTGAATGAACCTTCAATATCCCTCTTTCATAAACCTTGAGAAGTGAAGGTTCTTCATTGATGATAACCTTGAATGCAATTTGTCCGTGAAAGAAGTAAGCTTGGATGCTCTTTGTTTGGTTATTTGTTCTTTCACTGTGGGAAGCAAGTAGACTATCCGAAATTCTGAATCCAGACTTGGAGGAGGCTCGAAAATGAAGTATTCATATAGGTATCCATGAAAGTTCGATATTTTTCAATTTTATATACATAAACACATCAGACACATACTTAAAGTTGTTTCAGTCCAGGGGAACAGGTAGAGCTAAACTCCACAAGCTTCAGGATGAAAACAAATGCAGGGAACCAAGTTGAATCAAGTGGCTTCTCTGAGCTTGTCATCCACAGGAATCTCATATCAGAACACTAAAGATAAAATGCTTCTTGTAATAGTTGTAGCCTTGTAGGTGGATGCTTCATCTGAAATTGGGCTTCACAACAAAGACTTAGAGCCCAATTAACCCAACACTATTTATTATTAACCAACAGTAGATTTCAACTTTCTGTATTTTCCACTCTTGGTGTTACTTTACAAGTTTCAGTCAATCTAAATTCTTGATTTTGGATGAAGTTCGAGAGTAATTTGGGCATGTTTGGTAGGTTATTCGAAAAATGTTATTCTGAAAAACTATTTTAAGTTGAGTTGAGTTGAGTTGAGTTGGATTAAATCGAATAGAATAGGATTCTAAGAATGTGTTTGGTATAATATCTGAAAATTATATTAAAGTTGGCTAAAATGTTGAATAGTTCTTTGATACATTTTTAGAAAACATTTTCTGAAAATATTTAGATTATTTTTAACCCCTTACATTTGTTAATTTAGCTAAACACCCCTCACAATAAAACTTTAAAAATTAACTAAAACACCCCACAAAATCTAGTTGTCGTCAACGGTCAAAATCCAGTCGTCGTCAATGGCAATCTGGCTATCATTAATGGCCAAAATCTGGTGCTCAACAAAATGCCAAAATCTGGCTATCGTCAATGGCTAGTAGATTGGGCGTTAATGCCTGGATCTAGCCAAATCGTAGTGGATCTAACAAAAAATGATAAGATTGGCGCACGACTTGCCAAATCTGGTTGGTCGTGTGTCATTCTAGCCGTCGATGGTTGTTCGCAGGCGGTGGTGGTCTTAGGTAGATTAATTTTCGTATTAGAAGGAGTGAAAGGTAATTGTTTTCATTGAATAGAATTGGAAAAATGTTTTGAGTTGAATAGAATGAGATAATAGAAACAAAACCACTCCCCCCCCCCCCCCCCCCCCCCCCTTTCATTTCAATAGAAAAAATCTTATTTAATTCAGATTAATTTTCAGAATAATGATCACAATAAGTAAACCAACAGATATTTTGTTATTCAATTCAAATAGGATACCAAAAAAATGATTCAAAATTCGTGGTTAATATGAATGATTGGTTCATGTTATGAGGGAGAGACTATAGTTCGGTCATGATAACAAAGGTTAAAATTTTAAAATATTATAATGAAAATTACTAAGCGAAAGATTGATATTGATGGAAAAGATTAACGAGTAAATTTAAGACAACCCTGAAAATCTACTTGTTGATTTGTGATTTTGACACCGACTAAACGAACGTGTGAAATGCTGAGCTAGCCCAGAAGACACATGCGAATGGGGGTAGTGAAATGAGTAATAGGTGAAGAAACAATGTTTTAAAGTGGTTCGAACGCTTAAGCAAGCGACTCCTACATCCACTGATATTGTATTAATATGGAAGGTCAGGTCGCGCTCAGCGAGCTGACTCGCAAGTGATTACAAAAGAGAGAATGAGCTATTATAGAGAGAAATTAGCTAATACAGAGTAAAATGAGCAAATCCCACAAACGGGAGAGAAGCTCTCTATTTATAGTGGGATGAATTGGAGTAATGATTACTGAATCCGTAAAAAGGGGGCAGATACCATGCAAACCCTTCTTTGCATCCTGTTGCTCACCCACTCGAGTGATTTCCTCGTTTAGTGTAGGGGTTGGACACGTGGACGGCCTCCAGCCTTTCGTCAGTCTGGCGCGCACCCATTACACTGGCAGGAGCATGCTACTCACGCCAGCATGTGACGTGGCTGCGTTTGAATGGTTGTAGGATCTGCCTAGGCCCTGACCATTTACGCTGATCAGGCTCTGCGTCAGCCCTACTTTTTCAGGCATAACAGAAGTCTCCTAGTTTTTAAGGTTTGAGGATCGAACCTTGGAAACTACATAATTATGCCTTGATTTGATGCGTTCGAAGAGGCGATGGTTGACTCGACCTGCATACAGAGAGGTCGAGAACCTATTTCAACACAGGCAGCCTAAAACAACCTTTGCTGTAAGGTCAGCGACCAGACTTTAGATTGTATTTAGTACCATAACGATGATGCCGACCTGGACTGAATCCCGTGACCTGATTACACTTAGCAAGTTTTGTTAAGAACAAAGAACCACATTGCTTTGCAACTAACGTCCGTTGAGGTCGAGGGGTCACGTCACTCCGCGACTGACAAGACGAAGAGTGTTTTTCACAACGACCTCTTCAAATGTTTTCCGTTGCGCTTTTGTTGTAGGTGCATTTAATGAAATACCTTCTATTCTGACAGACGTGCCTTATGAGCAATAAGCGCCAGCCATGCGCATTAAATGCGAGCCATGCTGAAACAACATTCTCTATCAGAGCATTAAATGTGGACGTGGGAGCATTTAATGTGGAGGAGGGAGAACGTGCCGTCGCTTGAGTTTTTCAACGAAAAAGAATGATGGTTTGGTTTCTTGAGGCGTGATGGTCACTTTTCTTCACTAGTCGCGACCAACGATCAGATGCGTTTTCCACCCAAACGTCGTTTGACTTTGGGAAACCAAAGTACCTTTTCCTTCACTATAAAACCCAAGTTCACTTCAGGCAATGTCACAATATTCATCTTCTCAGAGAGAGCAAGAGATTTTCATGAACTCTGATTCTTTGCCTTTCAAACCGGTGCGCACTTGATATTCGAAGCAGAAGGATTAATCTTCTCATTTCAGGAGGTAAGGATTGTCCCTCTGCTACTTTTATTGTTGTTTTTGGTAGTCGTCATGCGACGATAGTCCGTTGGTAGTTGACCGAAGATGAAATATTCTCTTTGGGATTAAGCCATTAATGGTGGCTCTAAAAGTATTCTGTTAGGGTTTTTCTAGGGTTTAAGGGAGGAAATATTTATTGTTTTCTTCCACGTCATCATACAGAATAGTGTACGAGGACTGAACGATTCCCTGTTTGTCACTTTTGCAAACTGCAGTAGAATGGACCCCCCAACAACCAGAGCTGAGGAAATGACCAGTTCATCTGCGCAAGATGTTCCTGCAGGTCCCCTTAAGAGATCCTGTCGGTGCTTACTGACGAAGAGCTTCAAAGGGTAATAAACCAATACGCTATCAGCATGGAGGTCTTCCGAGATAGGACACGCACAGCTCAGAATCCACCACGAGGGCTAGCTGCGATCTCCAAGGACATTTTCAAGAGTGGGGGGTTAATCTCTTTCCACCCCTTTGTCAAGTCGATCCTCGACCATTTCGGGACCGCACACTTGTAGCTCACACCGAACGCGTACATGATAGCCGTGGCCATGTACATCGCATGCTATGAAAATGGACTAGGCGAGCTAACCGCGCTAGAGCTCGGTTGCTCGTATATCCTGAAAAAGAGTAAGGACAAAGATTCCTACTACCTTTCCAGGCGAACCACCATTGGAGCAGGAATACATAGTTACCCAAGCAATGCAGGGGCGTATGAGACGAAGTTCTTTTTCTTTCGTTACGACGGCCTTTGCTATTTCTAGGATCCAAGTAGGTTTTCCTTTTTTATCGCTTTGCGAACTCTTTTGGTTTTTGCAGTTAACAAAATGACCAGTTTAGAGCTCCTCGTGGATCCGGACAGGATTATTGCCTTCGGCTTTTTGCTCGAAGAAAGTCGTGACGCTAGGTTGCTCGTGACAACTGCAAACTTGCGGAAATATTGCTTCTTTAACTCGGAAGCGACCCTAGAGCCCCCACCGAGTAAGCTTCGCAACCTTGGTTTATTTTTTGATTGTGCGTGCAGTGAACTATTTTGCTAACGACGTTCACATGCAGCGATCATGCCTCCAAAGGTGTCCAGATCACCATGACCGAGGCATTTCACCTTCCCTAGAGTGGGGGCCACTGGACTGACTGGAGGTGCTCCCACCGGTCCCCCCGCCGGAAGGGCATAGACTGGTGCTCCAATCCGACTTGCGGGCGCTCTCCAGCCCTTGGATGTTCGCTCGAGGCAGAAGACGACGGCTCAACGGCCCAAGAAGAGGCGACAAATTCAGACCGAAGAATCAGAGTCCGAACCGGAGGACCTGGGCGTTCAGCCCAGGAGGTCGCAGGCCTACCAAGCATTCTGCTCGGGAAGGCCTACTAGGGGTGCGACCAGCACCGCGAACAAGGCAAAGCGAGGTCGCAAACCCTGGGAGGAAACCGGGTAGGGAACCGGCGGGTGGCACGACTCCTGATGGAGGCACGGGCACGGACACTCCTATGCTTGATTCAATGGGATAACTTTCGGACCATCTATAGCCGGTGGTTTTTACCCTACTGGAGTGGGAGCTCGCGAAGGCTTTTGACGAGTTCGTGGCTTCCGATTATGTGGACCTAATGTCCACATCCATTCAGTACCTGAGCAAGGTAAGACGAGCTATCCTCGGCGAGGACTTTGCTTCTTTTCAGTAGCAAAGAAACTAACTTGTTATTTCTTTTGTTCACACGTCTTGCTCTCCATGTAACTGTCCCTACAAAAGGTCCAGCTAGGAGCCATCGAAGGGATGGTCGCGTTGAGAGAGGAGAACACTCGGCTCAAACGGGACTTGGAAGCCACTAAAGCAGAGAAAGACTTATCCACTGCTTCGGTGAACCAGTATCTGAATGAGAGGAACACTGCTCTTCGCACGATGGACTTCTAGAAAGCCGAGCTAGAGAAGCATGGAGAGGAGATGAAAGAGCTTCAGAGGACAGTGGCTACACTCCCTAAGGAGGCTAGCGAGAAAGACCAAGAGCTAAAAACGACCTCTGAGCGGGCCTTGCGAGCAGAGCGGGAGAGGGGCGAGCTATGGGAGGCCACCGAAAAGCAAAAACGGGCACTTGAGGCCGAGCTGCAAGCTAGTCAGGGAAGAGTCGCTTCGCTAACTGAAGAGATATAGCGTCAAGGGGCGAAGATCAAGTCGAAGGCCGCTTAATGAGCAATTCAGTCCATCTATGCCCTACGGCCGAAGAATCCCGAAATGAATATGTCCGACCTCCTGGAGGAATACTAGGAAATCCTTAGATCCATGGCGCGACTCGACGATGAGGATACAGCGGAGGCCACCCGAGGACTTGACCAAGGGGAGCATTCGGGGTATGTCCCCGAGGAGCCTGCAGCTGGCCATGTGATTGGCGATCAGCCTGGGGATGACGAGGTCGCGCCTCTAGGAATTAGGGATGAAGGCCATTGATTGCCTTTACTTTTGTATTGCCTTTCCCATGCTTACTTTTTGTATTCCTTTTATGAATAAAGACAA